CCAGCCCTTATCCAACCATGAAGAAAGAGTAAACTAATTTCCTAATTTTGCATACTTGTTTCCACGCTAAACACAAACACTTTACATTAGCAAGCAATAAAAACAGTGAGTCCGCCTTGACTTTTTTATCCAAAAAAATACAAGTAACCTAACAGTGATGACTTCACTTTTTTAGAAATTTTAATTAAATTCTGATGTAAATACAAAAGGCTCCTGCTGTGTCTCTTACCACATGTCTCTGCCCTTCACGTGTCCTTTAAAGAGAAATGTTCTCAAAGCCAGACTATACCCGGAGCCTTCGCCTCTGCTCCCTTTGCCTTCTCTACTCGCCGTCACAATGGCCTTGCTATCTCTGTCACACCTTCTTAAGTTATGTAGAAACCGGTAGAACGAGTCTTTTGCTCGCTCTCTCTCAGCTGTTTATACTGTTTGTCCTCCCTCTCTCTGCCTCCACACAGGTGGATGGCAACACAAAGCTGCTTTGACTCAGTGGAAAAATGTGACATAATGACAACGACGGCGAAAATCAAACTGCTTTAAATGGGATGTGGGTCTGAGTTTCCTTTTTGTGGCTGCCAATTAAACTCCGCCCATGAAATGTGATTGTGAACACAGAAGCGTGCTCTCCCATTAAAACCGTGCCGAGAAATGCACTTTTGTCGGTGCGTGATTATGACAGTCACTGTACCTGTCATCAGGGGGCAGCTTACTCTTGCCGGCGGTGGAAGTCGAAACTGCCAACGTGACTTCGTCGCAGATTTGCTGTGCCTGTTTAAAATGACAACATGTAAGTGGCATCACTGGTAAAACCTGATGCAAATAGACCCTATGACTCATGCAGGACAACACTTGGGGAAACTCCTCGCGCCGTCAGCACTCACCTTCACCGTTTCACAGTTAAAGAAGTGGATGTCTGGCTTCTTCTGATCGTCACCTTGGCAGACTAACATAAGGAGGGATGGGAAGTGTTTTTCTGTGTTAACAGCTTGACAGCGGAAGATGGATCTGAAGGCGTAGCTCTCCAGCTCGTCCTGCAAGGGCAGATAGAACTGATTGGTCATTGTGGAGGCAAATATGTGTGGTATTTCACAGCTGAGCACATTTAAATCTCTTCATCATCCACTGAGATGCGCCTGCCCTCACCTGACTCTGTACGTCTCTGAGATAAATGCCCCCTGCTCCCACATCCAGGTACATCTGTTGACTCCATAGCTTTTTATTCTGAGCCAGGAAGGAAAGACGGTTCTGAGCTTCCTCAACGCTCTGCACTTCCCCGTTCTGCAGCGAGAATGTCAGAAGGTGCTGCAAAGCAATGAGGAAGAATGAGCACATGAGGAAAAATGCACGATAAAAACACTCAAGAGAAGGCACTCACTGTGACAATATGTCGAGTGATGTTTGTCATGTTTTTTCCACTCTGTCAGCTGGAGATGTGTAAGATAAAGCAGCTTTCCTAAAAAAATCACAGACCTAGAAAAGGAAGCAGAATACCAGGACCACTCAGAAACACATTCTGGACAGAGTTACGAGTGACATTTGTAGATGGAGAGAGTAACGATGGTGTTGCTTTAACAAGATATCAGCAGCTCCTACTTCCTAAAGCTAAACAGACTTACTCACAACAGAAATATCCTCATTCAAATTTGCCCTGCCCCTCCCCTTTTCCAGCTTACGTCTGTCTATCCCAGCTCTGTTTCAGTAACACAGGATTCTGGTGAGTGAGTGAGTGAGTGAGTGACTGAGCGAGCGAGCGAGCCGCCCGACCTGTCTGGTAACAGTTCAAAGTATGATACCAACCTCTCTGTTTCTCAGTGACCACTGAACAAGAGTCACCGGCATCAAAGACAGCAAACACTTGGTATAACTCACATGGTGTCACTTAAGAACTCTGCCCTCAAAAAAAATATCACTTAACCTCACATTTATGAGCACTCAGTGCCAGCCTGGTCTTGCACGAACATACAGTGTGGCATTTCAAAATGAACACTGGGACAGTGCGGTAAGCATGATGATTTGTGCACAAACTATAAGTAAAAGCACTGTTTTAAATCAAGGAAACATTTCTACATCTAAAGAAAGCTTTACTTTGCATCCATCCATTATGTTTTTACAAAATATATTCTATGTGCGCAACTTAACTGTATAGATTTGACAGAAAGAGCTGTGGTCTTGTTGATGTTAGGTAAGAAGATTAACACAATCATGCTAGGTTAAGTCAGAATTAAGTCAAGTGTCCATGGTGCTTTTGATTTTAGTACATTTTCATAAGCAAACCTTCAAAATCTGATGACAAATACTGAATTACTGGTAAATGTTTGGTTACACCTTCATAAATTACTACGAGTATCCAA